GCCTGCGGCCATGCAGTCGAGGGATCCCTCGGTAATTTTACAATTGCCTTGGAGAAAGGACGGCGACGAACGAGAATTAGCTTTGTCTCGCGTGCCTCCGCGCAAGGAAAATCACTTTAAACAATGCTCTCCTACGCGTCGGTTTCCCCTCCCCGACTCGATGACTTTAGCCGCGTTTACCAACCCGTCCCCCGCAAGCAGCCGAGCTCCCACCCTCACTCCCCACGATGTCCGTGGTTCAAGTCGAGTCTCGCATAGACTTCGAAACTACATTCGCGATAGACGTGACATGTGGGAAAATCACCATCCTTGACGCATCGCGTGTGCTCCGTCGTTATCATCGCTATTTATACGCTTGCGTACACAAGTATTAAGCGTACGAGTTGAAGGAGGCCAACGATCGTATCATTGCAAAGCGAAAGTACATAATCCATGAAAGTGGCCAAACGCGTCATAATATCAGCCCCCCTCAGAATAACGACCCTCCCCAGACGGAGAGCCTCGATCGACGAGATACGGAGCTGGGATGCGGGTCGAGATGCGGACGTGTGTGGTGCGGACGTGAGGTGATTTGGTGGGTGTTTGTACGTGTGTCCGTGTGTGTGCGTGTGTGTGCGTGTGCGTGCGTTTGCGAGTGTATTTCGTGGTAGCGGTAGAGGTAGAGGTAGAGGTAGAGGTAGAGGTAGAGGTAGTGGTAGAGGTAGTGGTAGGGGCATGGGAGAGAGAGAGAGGGGGGGGGACGTTTACAAAGGGGTTCGAAGGAATAAAACCTCGTCGATTAAAGATCCCCGGTCGTACACCGCAGAGCACTCTCGCTCTTTTATCCCGGCTAGGTAGGGAGCAAGACTCGGATCGAGCCACTACGAACCTGCGTGACGGGGTCCTTCATTATGAGGACGTCGGTGACGGTGCCGAACATGCCGAAGTACTCGCGCAGCTTCTCGCTGCTCGTCTGCCATGATAGACCCCCGACGAAGAGCTTGCCTGGGGCGGGGTCACCGCTGTTGGGTGTGCTTCTGCCGGAGCTGCTCGAGTGACTGCCGTTTATCGGCACCAGGGTGTTATGGAACTCGTGGTCGATGCCGGTGCCGTTGGCCGCAGCCGCGGCAGCGGCAGCTGCCGCTGCAGCCGCCGCCTCCATACCAGCGCTGCAACATGCACCAAATCGATCGTTTTTCAATGACTATTGCAAGTCTCTCTTTTTAATCGTCAGCAATAGCTCGGGTGGCTCTAACGCGAGAGAGGCCTGAGAATAAACCACAAGCGTTTGTTAGCCCAAGCGTCTTTGGCTTAGCCTAGGTACACTTGGACGCGGGGATAATTGCGTCATTTCCTCGCGCATCGATAATATCGACAATCAAACTCGCGTCCTTTTTGGATCGCCCGCGACTCATCCAATCAATGTCGGGCGTCGCAATCGTGCAAGAGCTCGTATGAAGTAAATGCAGAGTGCGTTGATTGTCGTGGGAAGGGGCATTGAATTAAAACAATGCTCGCTAAATTCCTAAAATTGTTAAAGACAGTAGTGCGCTACTTGATTTAAAAATTTTGTATTTGTATTCAGGGGTGATAAATATCGCGCGGTTATATTGTTATTCACAATCTAATGCCACGATATCTAGTTGCAATGCATCGTAGTAATTTGTGAAATCCAAATTGCTCGCTGCTATAACGCATTGAACAATGGAAGAATGGAAGTTTCAAGGAAAATAGTGATATTCCGTTTACGAATGGCTCGTCAATAATTATTGATTAAAATTCTTTGTAAACGTCCACAAGCAGCGCTGAAGCGTACATATTTTGAATTCTAAATTGTTCATTATGAGGACATTTACGCCGAGTGTACTATTAATTATAAAATAACAATGCAATTTGCGTTAATCGCCCAACATGTTAAATGACCCTGTGGCTTGAACAAATGAGTAAACTTGTATCGACTGTGCAAATATTAGCATAGCCGTACGAAAAGCCTCCTCCTTGCATAATGCCATTACAACACTTTTCCAAGTCCGCCGCGGGGCTTTGAAATTTTTAGTGGGGTTCCCCGGACCAACATCGATATTCTTCGTGCGCACATATTGCTCTTATTGCTCCGTCACAGTAGCATGGCAGGGACATGGGATAATCGGGCATAAATGTTGAAACATAAAATTGAATTTTTGCCTTTCTCACTGCACGCAGCATAAGCGAGCGTTACGCTCCTTTGACGTCACGTGAACAAAAATATTCTACAACCCGAGAAATCCCTGTTATCCAATAGTAAGTAAGTCTTTCGTAAATTCCGCTCTGCCCTTAAGCTACGCATTGAAGAAAACAATAGCGCCAGTTTTGCCCTTGCCTCTTACTCTCTCTCTCTCTTTCTCTCTCTCTCTCTCTCTCTCTCTCTCTCTCTCTCTCTCTCTCTCTCTCCACGTTTCTTGAGGGCGCGCGCATCTGCGCACCCTCGCATACGCATACAGCCATCCAAATTCAACCAGCCGATATGTGCGTAATAGAAGCCCATCCCTTATATACGGCGCCGCGGACGTAAAGTAGGCAAAGAAAGTTGCCCACACTGGCATCCATCCATCCACCACCCCTTGCACCTTTTCACAGTTCGACTAATAGAAAGGAGGCGAGGCGCGCGGATATAGCAAGCGAGACGGAAGCGGGCGCCGAGTGAGGAAGGAAGCGGGGGCGCACACCACTAGCACATCCACCCCCACCATCATCAGCGACTCCACCGTCGCTGCCCACCGCCACTGACATCGCCACGACCGCCACCGTCGCCTCGGCCGCCGTCATCACCACCACCATCAGCAGCGATAGTAGCAACAGTGGCAACAGTAACAACAGCAACAGCGGCGATAGTAGAGATAGCAGCAACAGCAGTAGTAACAGCGGCAGTGGCACCACAACCAACACCATCACCATCTTCGCCACCACCACCATCGCTGCCCCCCACAGAAGGGGATGGTTCCGAGAGAGTACGCGGATCAATATACTCTCGTGTTCCGGTAGCCCCGCTTCTCTCTTTCTCTCTCTCTCTCTCTCTGTCTGTCTGTCTGTCTCACTCTCCCTTCCTCACTCAATTATAAATGTGTGTGTGTATGTATATATATATATATATATATATGGCTCTCTCACTCTCCCCCTCCGTGTGGGGATGAGTGCGCGGGCGAGCGGCGCAGCGGGTGGCCACCGAGGGTTCGCATCCCGCCGGGGTGGAGGCGCCGCCGCCGTCGCAGTGCCGTGGAGAAGTTCGATCGAGCAGCTTGTACCCGAATCCCTGCGCGAGAGTCCGCGAATCCACGCAGTAACGCGCGACAATTAGTCGCGAGCCGGTGCAAAGCGACACGATTGAACGGTGATATACCGGTAAAAATCGTACGGCTGGAAGAATTAGGGATGGAGGAAAAGAGGTAAGGATCGATGGGATGAGAATGGACGTCATCAGCCGGCCTTGGGACGGGAGGCGCTCTTCCTTACGCCGGAGGAGTGTGTTCCTTTTGTTCCTGGTAAGCAGAATCATCGCAGACGGAAGCGTCGCGCGGTCGTGGATATTGTCCTGTCACAGCAGTACGCCTTATTCGAATTACTGGTGTGATAGGACATTGTCCTTGACTCGCGGCCGCTCAACACAGAGCAGCCAAGGACCGCGATAATGACAGCGGCGAGTCCCGAGGCAGCAACCTAAAGAGAAAGGAGAGAGACAAACGGAGTGTGCAACGAGGAGGCTCGACGCATTCCGGGTTGTCGCTGACGCGTTAGATACCGAGTGTAACAATGGGGCGGGGGCGAGGGGGAGGGCTGGGGGGACGAGGTGAGGCCTGCGAGAAAGGAAGTAGTTGGGGGCATGCGATTCGCGGCCGGTCGATTTTCATGAAACGCGATCGCCTCCCAAAGAGAAACGGAGTTACGGGGTGGCGAGAGATCGTTTTTTGGCCGAGGGAGTGGGCGCGCGCGCGCGAGGTGGGCGGGGTGCGCGACGATGCTACGCTGCGCGCACAAAGATGGTCGCCGGAAGCGGGAGATAAACATATGTGCGATCCGATGGGGCCGAGTTGCCGGCGATCGGGAGTAAGCGCGTACGAGAAGCCAAGGGGAACTGGGTGGGGCGCGGACGGGGGTGGATCGAATTTTTGGGGTTGGGAGGGAATGGGGAGCAGCGCAAAGAGGCAAGCCTCTAGGGCGAAGTACCAAGGGGCCCCGTTGACTCGGCTGAGCGATATGGTTATACACCCCGGTCGATAAAGGTGCGGCACGGGCGCTCGTAGTTGCTGGGCATCGTGTAGTGGGTAGCCTAGGAGGAGGAGGAGGAGGAGGAGGAGTACGGATGTCGAGGCTACTGAGAAAATGGAGACTTTGGCGTCCGTCAGCTGTTTGTGGGGGTCCCGTTTTGTCGGGTCGCGCGAGAAGTAGTCGCAGATGATGCTACCGCCCCTGCCCGTAACCCATCGGGTGTCAAACGAGTGCGCCGGTCGCTAATGGTACGGTGACGGTGTCGGTGTCGGTGCCGGTGGCGGTAGCACAAAATTAGCGGCCACGGGACGTGGGAACAATGATAGCGCGTGTACGTCGTCGCCGTCGGCAGTGACGAGCTCCGCTCGCGCAATCGATACAGGCGTAGCGAGTAGTAACGCGGCCCCGTGCCGCTGCGCGTACACGAACTCTTTTAGCCGATAATCGATAGGCGGGGCCGTAGCCAACAACGTTCACCCCATAATCGGGTCATGTTTCTTCGATTCAGTCAAGGCTATAAAAGAGTGGCGTCGTCGCGGGCGCCGATGGTAGTGGTGCGCCTTTGACCTCCCATTACCCTAAATGCACGTGCGGAGGCGCAGACACGAGCTTCCCCGTGGATACTTGTCGGCGACAAGCCACACTGGTTCCCGAAAGTATGGGGTCGAACCAAACTCCGGGTTGGGTAGAGGACGGGGGCGGCGCGTAAACCCCCGCTAATAACAAAATATTCGTGTCTTTATCTCTCTCTCTCTCTCTCTCTCTCTCTCTCTTCTCTCTTCTCTCTTTATCTCTGCCAGGGACGCCGGACTTTGATCGATCGCGCGTACGAGGGTGCGAGCGAGGGAACGACCTCTGCCAGGGACGAGGAAATAAATCTGCGAGGGGGTGGCTCGGGAGGGAAGCTTTGATGCTTTTTGTGAGACTCCTCGGCAGGAGCTGGGCGCGAGCTCGGGTACTAGAGTTCTAGAGCAGGCAACTCGGATCCGTGGCTCGGATCCTAAGAAGGAGTCGCGGGCTCGATTGTGCGCAGCTGCGAATGAAGTTGAGTTTTACTAAGCCAGCACGTCGACGGGCACGAATCTATCGATTGCCGAAAGGGACAACAACGGACGGGAGTGGCGGACGAAAAGCGCAGAGATAAAGAGCCGACTCCCGTCCTCGTCGAGTCGCGCCTTAAGAAATATAAATGTAGGCTATTTAAATATAGTTGGGGTTCGGGGACGATGTCTGTTCTCAACCTACGGCCCAAATTCATGAGCCTGAGCATTTTTTAATGAGCTTAGTGCGTTAAATCCAATGTCGGCGCAGACTGGCTATATGGTTAAGACAAGAGACGACTATCGGTCGTTGGGGGGGGGGGGGGTGTTGTTTTTGTGGATGAGGTTGTTATTTAGCGATGGGCGGTAGAGCCGAACGGGCAACGATTATTTCAATGTTATTTCCTTGTTAAAAAGCGCCGCGATCAAGGGAAACTTATTTTGCAAGGCCGGGGATTGTGAAGCGGGAGGGCATGACGACTCGCCGTTGCCGGACTAACGTGCGGATAACGAGCGTCGGAGCGGCGTGTAACGAGGGGTAGGAGGTAGGCAGCCGCCAGTCACGTTAGACAGCCAATACATAATAAGAAAAAAGTATATAATAAAATGGGGGTTGGACGCGGGTGGGGTGAGAGGTGGTCAGAGAGAGAGAGAGAGAGAGAGAGAGAGAGAGAGAGAGAGAGAGAGAGAGAATCAAGACGAACGAGTGGGAGTCATATAGAGTGGAAAAAAACGGAGCCGAAAGAAAAGTGCCTTCGACGAGGGGTTAAACGAAACGTGGCCCCGCTGCCTCGGGGACGCTACTTCACTACAAGGATAGGCGGTCGGCCCCTTTCCTCTCGGTTACCGCCCTGCCACCGGCCCTCGACAAGCCCAAACCCGCCACC